CCGCAACGAGTAGGAGGGCTACTGAGATGGGCCTTAAAGCCTAGAGCGTGGGCTCAGGTGGAGTTGACAGGTGAGGGATTCACCTAACTCAGAAGATACTGCAGGCGGGCCTGATGGCAGCTGGATGGCGTGGTTTCCTGGCCCTACGGGGCACATTAAGATTCAACCATGAGATTCCAGCAAAGGTAGTCAGTTACCATTCTTGTTGTGTTTATGCAAACATCAGGAGAGTAAATAAATTAATCTTGATTTGGCTTTTAAATAGCCATGGGGGAATTTTAAGAAGAAAAATCCTATTTCAATAAAGGTTGTTAAAGCTAAAATGGTTTCTTTCCCTTCCACCGGACCATTTTTTAAGCGTATAGGGATAGTTCAGTTGATAGTTCTGTGTGCCTAGTACGGTCCTCTAGCAACGGTGGAATAGAAATGCAGTCCATCTCATGATTGAGCTGGAAGTTCCAAGACAAAGGGGGGAATGAAAGGGGAAGGGCTAAGCCCTCCATCTTGCCCCAGGGTAAGGGCTAGGCCCTCCATCTTGCCCCAGGGTAAGCAAGGTGGGAGACCTGGAGTTTGCCCGCTGGCTGGCAAGAGACACAGAGAATAATAGGGTGGTGAAGGCCTGGGAGTGAAGGGGGGCCCATGGGGAAAACAATAAAGGGGACATCTGTAATACTATCAACAATAAAGATAAAAAAAAAGAGAGACTCTGCTCCCGGTCGCTGCGTCGGCCGGAGGAGGGAGTTGGGTTAGCTAGCTCAATAAAGGACCTTCTGCTTTTGCATCGAACTGGCTGGCTCCTGGTGTGGTCTTTGGGGATCTTGAGATCTGGGCATAACAGTTTTCTTGGGAAGGCATGAGGGAGGCAGGCAAAACTAAGTAGGCAGGTTTGGGTAATTTCCATGGGCTGTGGGCTGTAAGGACTGCCCCTAGTAACTGAGTTGCCTAGGCCCTAGCCCCGGGATAGTTAGGGGAGGGTAGTGGTTCACCCTTTGAGAGCTTAATCAGGCAGAGGGTTGGCAGATGCAGACTCTGGTCTGGCTGGTCCGCGTGTGCAGGTGCTCTTGCAGGGCTGTCTTCCTGCCTAGGAAGTAGGCAGCCCTGGGAGGAGCGGTGTCTCTAGGGTCAGCAAGGCCCCAGATGCCACAGCATCAGGAAAAAGAAAACAGAAAATATGTGTAACCCAGGCAGTCCTTTGAGGAGGGAAATGGACCAGTTAGCATACTCCTAATAGCACCCTTATGGCATCATGTCATTGGTAGGTTAGGTCGCTCAGGAGGCAGCGTAAGAAATAAAGAGTCGAGTGAATCAGAAAAGAAAAGAAAAGAAAATAAAAGAAAAGAAAAGAAGATAAGAGAAAAGAAAAGAAAAGAAAAGAAAAGAA